ACAATGAGTAAAGAAATTGGAGACTGCTCTTTTAGTTTATTGATGCTGTTTTGGCCAGTCTAGAATTCAGCTATCCTAAAATGATCAAAAGTTGTTTGGAGAAAAAGAGTATTTCCAAACTGGCCTCATTATCTGAGAGAAGCTTAAAAATAGCAATTAAGGTAGGATAATTTCTTTCTTGCCTGCTTTAGTCTGCAGAGATGAAACTGTGGGAGTGTCCTGCTTGCTTGCTCGTTGCTCTTTTCAAACGAACGACTAGAATTTTATCATAATAGACAAATCCCTTGTTAGCTGCAAGGGAGAAATAGTTTAATGATGAGGGGCAAAGTCTTGTGCATCTTAAATGCAGGCAGATGTATCTGTGTTCAGTGTTCTAGTGAACTCTGAAAGTTCCATGATGGGCAAGTGTCTGTCAACCACTTTATAAAAGTTCATTTCTTGGAGGTATGGAAATAAACATGTTTTTATATTAACTACAGGTGAGAAATGCTTTTCTGTTTATTTAAAGAAACCCTTTTGTTGCTTAAAAACCTTTTGAAAATGCTCATGTGCAAATGTATTGGGCAAGGAGATCTCATGGAAGAAACAAGTATATAGCTCATGTACGAAGGGACTTGCCAGTTGGGAGAAGTTTAGGGAAACTGTCAGGACATGCAGGAAGGCAGTAAGAAAGGCCAAAGCCCTCTTAGAGCTAAAACTAGCAAAGGAAGTAAAAGAGAACAAAAAGGGCTTCTTCAAATCTATCAGTAGTGAAAGGACCAACAGGGGAAGTGTGGGCCTGCTGCTGAATGAGGCACAGCCCTGAGAACTGAGGCTGCAGAGAAGGCAGAGTTGGTGAATGCTTCTGTGCTTTGGTCAGTAATCCTGAGGCCAGCCCTTGTGAACTCCAGACCCCAGATATGAGGGTTAGTTAAATATATGAGGGCTGGGTGTCAAGAAGAAAAGGGCAACCTCTTTTCACTTATGCCCTGCAATAGGACAAGGGGCAATGGATACAAGCTGGAGCACAGGAGGTTCCACCTCAACCTGAGGAAGAACTTCTTTACTGTAAAGGTTCTAGAACACTGGAACAGGCTCCCCAGGGAGGTTGTGGAGTCTCCTGCCTTGGAGGCTCTTTAGGTCCCTCTGGATGCCTTAACCTGCCCTACACTAGATGGTCCTGCTCTGGCAGGGGGTTGGACTCGATCTCCAGAGGCCCTTTCCAACTACTAACACTCTGTGACTCTGTGATTCTGTGAACTGTGAGTTGACACAATCAATCCTAAATGTTCCAGTGATTGTTTTTTTTTCCTTCCCTCACCCCAGCTCTTACCTTCTTCCTACCCAACCTATTTTTGCAACGTTAAATGGCCTTGTCAGTAAGTGGAGTGAGATGACTTGTTTGGTCAGCAGTCAGCACATGCAAAACCTCCAGCCCATGAATTATGTAAACTAAAGACCTTCAGACCCAGCATGATTCTAATGATGAAGCTTTAATTTTAAAAGTTTTAAATTAGCACAGTGTATGTTTTTGTAGTTTCATAACATACCCTGTAAAGTAATCCTATTGGCCAAGGTAGAACCTGTTAACAAACTCTGTGAAAATGTCAATTATCGCACCTGTAAAATATTAGTGATAATATTTTCTAGAAAATACAGACCATGTTGCCATCCATGTAGAAAAATAATGTACTCAAAAATAATGAAATCTTATAAAAACCAAGTTCTGTATTTATTTACTGTCATGTAAAGCTTTTGTATGTATTGAAGTGTTGTTTTCAGTACTTTTCCTACATCCTTGAGAAGCAGAGTCTCTTTTGATTTTTAAAATGTGAAATTCACACATTACTTGGAACCACAGTTCTAAGAAAAATATCAATTATCATGAGACTCATCATGAGAGTGTACAAGTTGGCACTGGTATATATCCTAAGTGTTATAAATTGATTTTTGTTGTTGTTTATTTCTTAGTTTTCTGAAATAGATTCAATGTTTCATCTGCATATATTGGGGGGGAAAAGATCAATCTTGTTAAAATCTTGCAGAGGAATATTTCATTAGGAAGTAAAGAGCTTAGCATCACGTAAACCAGTTGGAATTCCCCACAACTAAACGACACGGATGCTTGCTGTAACAAAGCCACGGCGTGCTGGGGAATTCCATGATGGCTGATACAGAAATGATTTCCAGTACCACCTAGTGCTGCGTCAGTAATCGTGTTCAAGGAGCATTTAGTACAGTTTATGGATCAAGCTATTGCTACTCACCATTCTGCTGCTTTAAATGAGCACAGTGCAGAAGGGAGTTGACCATCCACAAGTGCCCAACGTCTGCCTGCGTTGGGTCGCAGGGTGTCTGAGAGCTGCCCAGACCAGCCCTCTGCAGACACTGGCACATGCAGCAGCTCTGCTGGCTCAAACCAAAGGCTCCTGTCACCCCAGGTCTCATCTCCAGCAGTAGCTGTGAGCACATGCCTCTACACAACGTCCTCCCCTGTGTTCTCCCAGCCATCAGCAGGCTCTGGCTCGGGGACTTACTGAGCTAAATGTGGTTTCTGTGTGTTAATCCTCAAAGGGTTTGTGTCCCATGAGCTTGTCTCAGCTTCCCTGTATGAGCCTTTTAGCACTCAGAACATCCTCTGACAGTCCATTTCGTATGCATTCCCTAAGGTGAAGAGAGTGTGTTTGGAAATAGTGTTCTCTTGTTAGTAAGCAAAATTTTTGAGGGATTAGTATGTTTTTAGCTGAGGTTTGCTGTCATGGCTGATGCTGGCAGACAGGTGTTTATCTTGCAAGAGGAAAAAGGAACTGAATGGCACATGTATTATCCATCAGGAACAGTGGATCTCCCAACTGTAGCTTTGATGCTGGTGGTGCTGCTTTGGTGCTATTTTCAGTCTTGTTTCTGTTCCTCAGAAAAAATTATTAAGAAACAACTTCCCAATCTCTTCAGTTAACACCCTTCAACGCCCAAAAAGGAATGTATTTTGTGCAGTACAGTATGTGATACTTAATAAGGTATAAATCAAGGTGGACAGAAGCTGCCTGTCAGTTTTATTAACTTTGACCTTTTCTCCCATTCTAAGGATCGTTTGGTAAATATTTAATGGCCCTTATAGATTTTGACAGTTGGATCTGCATTCCTAGGAGCAAAGGTAGATCATAAAGAAATACTTGTAATTAATAAAAATAGCTTAATCAGTAGGAGTCGGTCTTCAAGGACAGAAGTGGTTTTTTAGAATATACTTTTCTTTTTAATTCCTTCTTTTACATGCTGGGCTACTAAATGCCAGTTTAGCCATGGCTAGGAGGTTCTGAAGTAGGAGTTGGTCTTCAAAGACAGAACTGTTTTTTTAGAATATACTTGTTTTAATTCCTTCTTTTACATGCTGGGCTACTAAATGCCAGTTTAGCCATGGCTAGGAGGTTCTGAAATGTTTTTAAAAGGTTGCATTTAAAATTCATCTGTGATTAGCACCTGTGATTACCTCCATCTCTGATGTTACCTACCTGAAATACCTGTTGGAGTCATTCTGCACAGTGAGCGTAAGTGAATGATATCAACAGCACAGAATGGCTGATGGGGGGGCTACTCTTAATAAGATGCAAAAAGAAGAGGGAAAAACGTGTTCCTGAGTCAGAAGGGTCTTCTGCCAGAGCTGTCTTTCCCTTTAATTCCCTGCATATTGCACTCACTGCAAATTCTGGTAGTGAAGATTGAAAACTAAGCCCCTGACACTTTGAAACATTGCCTTTCAAATATGTACCGTCCATTGCTCTCATTGATTTTTTTTTTTTTTTTTTTCCCCCCATTTCAGAAATCTGTCAGAGTCAAACAACTCTGAGCAGAATCCCTTGGTCTGAGCAGAGCTGTTGGGGCAGTGCAGTCCCTGGTCCCTGCTGGGGGGCAGCTCTTCCCATTAGCAATGCCATGTGTCTCCGTGTTGTGCCAGAGCTGAGGTCACGTGCCAAAGCAGCCAAGTAGATCAGGAGCCTGTTAAGAAGCCTTATGGATGCTCTGAGCATTGACATTTGAGTCAAATTGGCTGGCAGGAGAGCTTCACTCATTTTAAAAGCCATTTTCAAGTAGATCACGTTACCAAGCTTAATTTTGCTCTTTTTTAGTCAGCACCCCCTGCAATAGTTTTACCTAAGACCACATTTTTCTGAACACTTGTCTTATTTTCCTAAATATAAGCTTTTCTTAGATGCAGACCATGGCATTAGAGTTGTTAACTTGTTAAACAGTTCATCTTTTTCGGAACAAATCTTTAGACAATTTAGTGAGCATGTTCATGTAGAGACTACAAAGGATGATGAAGGAAATTGCATGTGTCTGACAGAACCTTGTCCCCACACTTGGAAAAACAGGGAGCTAAGAATGTAAATAGAAAGTATTTAGTTGCACTTGAAGCTGGTTTCAGGACAGACACAGCACTGGAGTCATTCTTAGACCTGCAAGCAGTGGGAATGCACTCAAAATCTCACAGATTCATGTTGTGTCCTTCATAAATTTGTTTTTCATTGGCAAGTGGAATAAAAGGTTAGAGGAGAACGGTACTGAATGAATATTTCTGCAATGCAAATGTGCTAGCAGGTATTTTAAAGGCTAGATTCTTCTTTACAGTAGTAGCAACTTCTTTGTGAATATTTTTTGGTTTTATGCTTAAGAAAAAAAGATGAGTGTTATTCCTAAGAAGCTGGTTTAGATAGTGATCCCTCGGGAGGAGAAACAATCTTAACATTTAAAAGCAAGCCTAAGTTACAGGAGAGTTAAAACTTGAGAGGAAGTTTTTGATTCATCATCTTACTTGCCCTATAGCATAACTTCCCTGTAATACCTAATTCACAGCAGATTTTTTTCATACGCTCTTGTTGGTATCACTTCCATCCAAGCAAGATATATCTAATACCACACATTGACTCACTGGCTGTGATTTGAATCGAGCAGTACAGAGAGCAGAGGTCTGACAGAGTGCTGCAGTGGTACATATTTTAATAGATGTGCTTTTTGTTATCCAGCTGCAGTACCACGCCGGGCTGGCATCTGGCCTTTTGAATCAGCAGTCTCTGAAACGCTCAGCCAACCAGATGGGAGTCTCTGCAAAACGCAGACCCAAAGCCCAGCCAACGACTCTTGTCTTACCTCCTCAGTAAGTAATGGAATATTCTGGAGGGTTTGTGGGGGTGGGGAGTTTTATAAGAAAAATTTTTATTTATTCTATTAAATCATCCTAATAGCAGCTTTGTGCATGCATTTTTATTTCATACACAATGAATTATTCTTGTTGGATTGGGGGGGTACACTATGGAAGCAACATTTTGTTTCTTCTGTTTGTGGAGGCACTGTGGCAACAGAAAAGTTGGAAGGATTCTTTTTTTTGTAGCAGGTCATAAAAGTTTTTTTTCAACAAGACATTGTCATTGAGGAATGATGTTCCCCTGATTAGTATGACTTGGAGCTTCAAGTAGGACTTTTCTGAAGGTCCTAAAAGGCTGAAGCCCCAAAGTCTTTGGTGTGAGTACTTTCTCAACAAACGTCTGTTCGGCGTCCATCTGTTCACCATATGCTAATTTTTCATTGGATCTAAACATCTTTTACAGGTGACAGGCAATTATGAGGACACTTAGAAACTGTTTGAGGACATAGAGTATCAACACTTCAGGCAGTCTGTGTACTGATGCCAAAAACACAGAGATGTCCACAACTAAGCTTATAAATTAATAAACTGCCTAAAATATTTAGTCGTGTATAAGAAAATGATTATTATGTGGAAAATGAAGCACTAAGGAATTATTCATTGTCCTGAGCATCCTTGTAGTTCGTGGAAACTGCCTGCTTCTTTTCCACAGAACAAGAGTTGCTGACTTACAAACACTATGTTGCTAAAAACTTCATAGCTGTAATAATGAAAGTCCCTCTTGGCACCAGAGTTCACAGGCCTAAGTTCATGAAGGAATCAAAGGAAGTTTGGAGCTTTTTTCTTGTATGAGATGAGGAAAAATATCACAGTCACAGAGCTTTCCCCTTGTACGTTAACTTTAGAGGGATGCTAATTCAAGAATCCATAAAATGTTCTATTGTTTCACCGGTACGTCGGAGGAAGAAGAGTGGTTAGAAAGGCAGCTCTGGCAGAACTAAGTGTTTGAAAACCAGCTGTCATTTCTCATCTGTCTGTGAAAGAACAGGGATATATTGTGACAAACTTGCTAATTAGCTGCTTCCTTTGGGGTATCAGGTTTATCCAGAGCTTAAAATGGACTTCTCCAAGAAGTTTATAAACTAGAATAGTGCGATACCAGTTTTCACAGTTCTGATTCAGAGGTCTTGAAATATTTGGCTGTTTTGGTTTTTGTTAATCATGGCTTACTTTTCTAGTAACTGGCTTCTCCAGTTACTAGAAATATGTATAGTGTGAGAGAAAGAGCTAGCTTCTATTTTTGCCTTGGAAAGTCTGTACTTATACAGTTGTAGCTGTATATATTATACATCTCATGTTAAGATTTATACATTTAAAAGTATTGTATGTCTCTTGATCTGCAGGTGATTTTTCCTTCAGTGGTGCATTTACCTAGAATTTGCAGATGGAATGATCTTTTAGTGGGATGACTAAACTTTAGCGAGTCGTTGAATTATGTTTCTGTACCTTATTACCACTTCCAGCATTATTCACAGCAAAAATAAGTTTTTGCTGAGCTGGCCCTTTATCTGTCACTGGTTTCCTCCACTCTGGCTGCTCTTTGACCTTTCTGTATTTGTCCTTATTTGCTATCTTGGCGTGTCCTAAGAAGAGAATAGTAGTTTTATTAAGTCAAATCAAATACCTGTTGAGCTCAGTATCATTTCTCCAACACAGGGCAGAAGTGGATTATGAAAAGATTTATGAAAATAGGCTTAGGAGAAGGTTTTGTTTTTAAAAAAAAAAAAAAAAAAGGGAAATGGATTTTAATATCTTGATTTTGCTCTAGTCTCATGCAAATAATGATGAATCATGCTGTGATTTTCTAAAATGCAAAGGAAGAGAACCTCCAGGTGTAAAACTACACTTCTCCTTGAAAGGGCATGCTGCATACTAATTCTCCTGTGGTAATTCAGGAGTTTGGGGGTTTTTAGCTTTATTGATTAATCAAGAAAGGGGTAACTATTTCTTTGTCTCTTTTTGCTTTGATGGGTGTTATTAAAATTAAGTTTGGTGACAAGTCTTGGGGCTGAGTAACAATATACTATGATTCAAGTATACATTAAATGTTGTTCAGAGCAACTGTATTATCTAGAGCTTGTCTTAAATTTAAGTAGTTTAAACTGGGTATGTGCCAAAATGTCATTTTAGGACAGCACATTGGAGCAAATAGCAACACTGCAGTAATACTTTACAGCCAGCAAAGGAATGCAGGAGGCACTGTTGCTCAGGAGGTAACATAGGTGGTGATTTGAACAAAATCTTCTAAAAGCTGTTCAGTGTTTGTTGATATTGCATATGGATACTTTGATATTAACCATGTCTTAGTTTGAGGTAAAGGTAGCATTAGTGAGCATGTAACTGATCTGTTTATTTGTGTTTCTGTTCCTTGAAGAAACTGTGGGTCACTTTTGCTATTGCACATTACATTCTTAATGGTGATGATGCAAGCCTGGCAATTATCTTGCTAATCCATATCTTTAATCTTTCCTGCTACGGTGAGACTTGAGTTTTAGCCAAATGGCATTTCTTGTTATAAAGGTGGTGATAGAAAACTTGCTTCTTGTGCTGTGTCAACTTACTGTTCATTTGAGCCCTTAGTATCTATCCCTGCTCTGCTTTTTCTTCTTTCCTCTCCAAGATAGCAACAACAAACCAAATTAAAAAGACAAACCCCAAAACCTTCTCAGCCTGTCTTGCAGACTCAGCCATCTCTTCCCACCTTATGCTCACAGGAGGAGCCAGAGAAGGGGTTTTGCTAATGGCATATCTGATTGTTGGTGAGCCTGCTCATTTGTCCCTTGCCAACTTCAGGATAGGTTTTGATGTGCTCTGGTTTGGAAGTGAGAAGCTCTATATTTTCACTAGCAGATATCTGAAACAACAGTTTTAAATAAAAAAGGTATTTTTAAGAAGGTAAGATCTGTCCTATGCAACCATTAGTAGGAAACACCATTTTCTCAGTGTTTTCATTATCTGGGGGCTTCTAAGGGTGCCAAACAGTTTTGAAGACAAGACCTTTTGGTATTCACTTCTGGTTTTCACTGGCTCTGAGAGTGCAGAAAGGAATACTAGATTGAAATGCATTCTCACTTCTAGCCAAATGTATCTGTATGAGAAAATGACTAACTGCTGGTTTCTTTCTCTCCCTGCTTTGTCCCTCCTTCTGTCTTCTATTAACAAGACATCTCCCTGTACTTGCTAATAGATGCGTTCCCTCACATGCTTCTCATCTGGCTGCTGGTTCCTTCCTTCTGTTAAAGAATCTCAAAGCAGTGTTTGCTGAAGTGCTGAAAGCTGTCAGCTCCTTCTGAGTGACTAGGAAGTGTATACATGCAGCCCTTCTGAAAACCAGGACGGCTGCTTCTGGTCTGAAATAAGACAAGGATGCAGTTAATTAATCTTGTATTTTGATAGCACCACACCTCAAAAGCAAAATTCCCAGTTACAAAGCTGGCTCCATGACCCTGCAGGAGCAGGATGTTGTGCCCCAAAGAGTCTGAAGTGTCTGAAAGCAGTGAGCCCACAGGTAGTCCCTACCAGTGGACCACTCTGCTGAGAGCCCAGCGGATTCTGGTATGTCACTATCTAGCTGGAAAGTGACAGCAGTGAGTCACTGTGACATGAGGAGGAAGAAAAGAGAAAACACAGGATGTTGACTATATTCCTGCAGTTGTGCTCATTGATGCATACACAAGAGGGCCTGTTAGTTTTAATGGGAATTTTTAGGGGTCTCATCTGAAAACCTTATGACTTTAATAGCTCTGTTGCATGGGGCTGTCTCACTGCTCCCAGATTAATTATCTTCTCTGTCTAGAAGGAAATTGCCAGAACAAGAACTTGCTCACCACAAAAGGTACTGGACTCTTGCCCTTTATTGTGCCTTTTAGGGTTATTCATTGTGACGTTTGTAGGTTTGGGGGAAATAAGCACACTATAAACAAGTGGAAGTCTGGTTCTTGTTTGACAGCTTTAGGCTCAATGGACAGAAAGGCTTGAGTAAAATAGAGTCCAATTTCTTGTTTTAGGGCTCTTGAACTTGTCTTGTAAATCTCTTGTGCTCTGATGTATGCTCTAACCTGACAGTGAAAACACTGTAATAGATTGAGTAAAAATCTCTGTAAATTTGTACTCTATTCGTAGGAGTGGACCAGCAAAATTACTTTTCCTTTATTAAAAAGAGAACCAGCAGTGCTGCCTGTGATATTGTTCTAGATAAATGAGAGAGAAAAAGCTGTGAAGCTAATATTTCTTTTAAGAGATAATAAGGACTTGAAGATAGAGTCCTGGACAGAGACTCAGGAGGGCCAGGTTGTTTCCATCTCTTGTTCTGGATGAGATGGAGGAGGTCTTTATTCTGCTCCCTACACCTTAGAATCTGTCTGGATTCTTCTTCTAGAGAAGATGGATATATTCAAAAGAAGTCCATACTTGCTTCATCCTTTGGAGCTGTGTTAGTAAAAGATACTTTTTAGTGACTGGTCTTTTAAAAGCTTAATTTACTGGCTCAGCAGGTGTCTCTTCATCTGGATTTGGAAAATAAATTTACAGATATCCTAAACTCTGTGTTTACTGTAGCTTGATTCAATACCAGCTTAGTCAGTGTGTTGTTCTTTTGTAGCATTAATGTTCTATCAGTTTTAATGATTCTGTCATGTGAGTAGTGCTCTAAGGTTCTGTTTTATTTGTTCAAGAGCTTTCTTCAGGACACACAAGTTGAGTCTTGAGGAAGGAATTTAATTTAAAATAGTAATGTAGTATTCCAAAAGTTGCTATTTTTAACAGCTAACTGAAAGGTGTGTGTGTGTGTGTATATATGTATGTTTAAACACACTGTACACTTACTCATCTGATGAGCCAGAATAAATTATCTGGAACTTAACTTGTGTATTTTATAATTTTTAAATTAAGAAAAATCCTGATGAGCCCTTTGCCAAGAGTTTTTGGAGCAAAGGGTATTTTCAGCATTTTGT